CGAAGGTCCCCAGTGGCTACGTTCGCATGGCGGCCTCGGGCCATTTCGGCACACCCCTCACGAGGATCGTTGCCCCATAGCGAGCTCCACCGAAGGCCCCAGTGGCTGCGTTCGCATGGCGGCCTCGGGCCATCTCGGCACACCCCTCTCGAGGATCGTGGCCCCATAGGGAGCTCCACCGAAGGCCCCCAGTGGCTGCGTTCGCATGGCGGCCTCGGGCCATTTCGGCACACCCCTCACGAGGATCGTGGCCCCATAGGGAGCTCCACCGAAGGCCCCCAGTGGCTGCGTTCGCATGGCGGCCTCGGGCCATTTCGGCACACCCCTCACGAGGATCGTGGCCCCATAGGGAGCTCCACCGAAGGCCCCCAGTGGCTGCGTTCGCATGGCGGCCTCGGGCCATTTCGGCACACCCTCACGAGGATCGTGGCCCCATAGGGAGCTCCACCGAAGGCGCCAGTGGCTGCGTTCGCATGGCGGCCTCGGGCCATTTCGGCACACCCCTCACGAGGATCGTGGCCCCATAGGGAGCTCCACCGAAGGCGCCCAGTGGCTGCGTTCGCATGGCGGCCTCGGGCCATTTCGGCACACCCCTCACGAGGATCGTGGCCCCATAGGGAGCTCCACCGAAAGCCCCAGTGGCTGCGTTCGCATGGCGGCCTCGGGCTATTTCGACACACCCCTCACGAGGACCGTGGCTCCATAGGGAGCTCCACCGAAGGCCCCAGTGGCAGGGTTCGCATGGCGGCCTCGGGCTATTTTGACACATCCCTCACGAGGACCGTGGCTCCATAGGGAGCTCCACCGAAGGCGCCAGTGGCAGGGTTCGCACGGCGGCCCCGGGCCATTGCGGCACATCCCTCACGAGGATCGTGGCCCCATAGTTGTGCTGCTTCAACAACCGCGCCTGGGCGTCGTACTCCGCCTTGTCGACGTGCAACGCCACCTCCTCCCTCATGGCTCTCAAGGCCTTCTCCTGCTTCTGCTCCTCGGTGAGAGGGGCGCCGTCCTTGTCGTCGTCGGCGCCCGCGAAGACAGCCACGAACGTGCCCCTGAGCATGTCGGGCTCCGGCGGAAAGCCGTGGCCACATAGGGAGCGCGGGCCAAGATGGCATTCACAATTGCAGTATCTACACAACAGCATATGGTTGGGTCCTTCGCCAGGCTAATTTCCCTGCACGCACTCTTCTTCACTGTGAGGCGTGCCCCCCTTGAGAGACGAGCGCTCCTGTGGGCCCGCAGCTCATGTGGGAGATCTGCTTCAAAGGAAGCCACCTCTGTCCTTCCCTGTCAAGATCACGGCAGTATCGAGTTGTTCAGTTCAAGCAGGTACCGAGCGACGTTCCTACTTCGAGGATGAGCCGCCCTGCACATGTGTGTCTAGACACAATCCAAGACTCCTGGCTTCAAAACCTCACGACGTATCAACTCGAACCCCCGTCCTCCATCCGCGTAGTTGTTGGACGTTTTTGAGATGAATGCGCACAGCGCCGAGACGTGAACCATATGTTGAAAACTAATTGTCTTCCATCCGTGTAATTGGTGGGAGAGTACAAGACGAATGTGCCCGCCGTTGTGGGCGAGGGCCACGTTTAGAGAAAAACCGGCCCTCCGCTGTGCAACTGTTGGAAGTGCTGCGTCTTGGTAAACATATTGGCAGGGAATCTCAAGCGAAACGCCCAGCCTGGACTACGGACTCGCCTTTAGGGCGCCAGTGAGGAATGTATTGGAAGGACGAGGGCTTAAGGAATGAGGGTGCTGGTGACAGAAGGACGCGAGAGGAGCAGGATGAGGATGAGGAGGAGGAGACACAAGAGAGGAGGAGCAGGAGGAGGAGGAGGAGGAGGAGGAGAAGGAGGAGGAGGAGGAGGAGGAGACACAGGAGGAGGAGGGAGGAGGAGGAGGAAGGAGGAGGAGGAGGAGGAGGAGGAGGAGGAGACACAGGAGGAGAGGAGGAGGAGGAGGAGGAGGAGGAGGAGGAGGGAGGAGGAGGAGGAGGAGGAGGAGGAAAGGAGGAGGAGGAGGGAGGAGGAGGAGGGGGAGGGGGAGGGGGAGGGGGAGGGGGGGGAAGGGGGAGGGGGAGGCGGAGGGGGAGGGGAGGGGGAGGGGGAAGGGGAGAGGAGAGGAGGAGGAGGAGGAGGAGAAAGAGAAGGAGGAGACCCAGGAGGAGGAGGGGGAGGAGGAGGCGGAGACGGACAAAGAGAAGGAGGGCGGATGAGGAGGAGGACGGGGACCAGGAGGACGAGGAGGACGAGGAGGACGAGGAGGAGGAGGAGTAGGAGGTTGGTAGCGGGCTGAATCCCGGATCCAGGTACGTGTAAGAGTGACTCTTTGCCGGAGAGACTCTTGATGCGGGCTCACCGCATCTCCCTCCCGCATTAGTCTGCACTCCTGGAGTTGGCCTCCCCGCGGCCCGGCCCCCTCAACTCGTGCACCAAGGGTATCTATTGCAGAGGGTCACTCTTCTGCACTGCCGTCGGGCGGATTCTGAGCAGCTGAGGTACTTCACCTTAGAGCTTCGGGATGCTTACGGCAACCGTGTCGTGAGCCCGCAGTATGGCGCCAGTCCAGAGATCACCGCTCGCCTGGTCTGGCAGTCGGAGCCCGAGAGCCTGGCCCTTGCTGACATCGACGACGCTACTCTGCTCGACGAGACGTTCGGAGTTTATGCATTCGCCTCTCACATTGAGCTGAACGCTGATGGAACTTACAACGTTTCCTACACTGCTTTCCGTGCAGGTCTGAATCACCTGGAGGTCTACGTCGACGGACTTTTGGTGGAGGGCCATTTGGCCGGTGCGGACAACCCAAACACCGATGGATTCAACGGCCCGGTCAGCGTCACGGGTCATTTTAACTCTCACCCAGACGCCTACATGACGTTTGTTTTCCCTGGAGACCCACCTGCTGAATGCACGACTGGTGTGTTTTGCAACGTGTCCATCCGGGTGCGAGACGCCTATGGCAACTACATATCTGACGACAGTGCAGAGTACTTGGAGATCGAAACGACCTACACCACGTGCGACACGACGAATAGAGCCGATCCGGCGTGTGCCATCGTAGACTCTGGCAGGTGCCGCCAACAGAACAGTTCGTTTCATCTCTGCAGCATGGTGCCAACCGTCAGCGGCAGCTTCCTGCTGCGCCTGCTCGTGGACGGTGCCGACGTGTCGGCCCTCGAGTACACCGACGTCGTTGAGCAGGAAGAGGTTACACGGAGAGTGCACGGTCTCGCGCGTGGCCCCTTCAGCTCTGAGATTGCTGTTGGCTCCATCGAGGCCTCCTCCTGCCTCATGGAGGGCCCGGGGCTCCTCGTTGGCGGCAACGTTGCCGGCTTCGTCCAGGAGGTGCTGGTGCAGTTGAGGTCGGCCACGCGCCGAGGGGTGTAGGGGCAGGGGGAAAAGGCTTTTCAGAAGTACTCCTGCTTCATGGAAGTGGCGGGCCTTGTCTGTAGGTGTAGGGCCATCGCCTTCTAAGAAGCAGTCTCCTTCTAAGAAGCCTTCCCCCCTCCCCCTACCCCCTTTTGCGCGCCGCCAATGAGGGACACTTGGGGCAACAATCGCACCACCAGCCTCCCAGAGATGGCGGAGGACGAGACCACGGTCTTAGCACACCTCGGGGGGACGCAGCTCGAGGCCGTGAACAACAACAACGGCACCCTGACCGTCTTGGTCAATACGCTACTCTCTGGACTATTCCAGCTGCGCGTGCGTCTCGGCGAGGGATGCGTTGAGGACCCTGTCGTCGACGGGCTGTGCGTTGACGTGGCCGGCTCGCCCACCGAGCTGCTCTTTTGGAGGCCAGGGGAGGTCTCGGCGCCTTCGGACCTCGGAATCTATTGCCTTACCCCCGACGCAATGACCGCGGGCACCATCTCCGAGTTCACGTGCACAGGGCGGGATGAGTTCGGGAATTTGAACCTCACCGCCGGGCTCAACTTGTCGGCGGACTTCAAGCTGCTCGCCGACCCCACGGGCACAGACGAGCCGGTGTCTGGCTGGTGGGTCGGCGATGACATTGAGCTCGGAGACTCGCTGGCCTTCCACGGCGTCTACGATCCAGCAGACCAGCTGTACCACTTCCATCCGGTCGTATCTCGAGCAGGCACGTATTTGATCAAGCTGACGCTGGCCGTGCAAGGGGGCGTGTTCGCCAAGTATCACACAAACCTCGGCTTCAACTCCCTCCTGGCCCTGAAGGCTGAACCTCAGCACGTAGACGAGGACGACTTCGTGTACACGAGGATCGACCCGGCATTGAACAATTTGTCCTTAAATATGACGGCTCTGTATGAAGAATTGGGCATCGAGGAGTATTGGAGCGCCGAGTGGTTTGGCTACCTCCTTCCAGAGCTCACGGGGAATCACACGGTGGTGGTCCGCGCGGGTGGGCGCGTCCGGCTGGAGCTCGACGACGCTACCGTGTACGACGGCATGGAGGGCCTTTCCGACGTACCGTCGCCGAGCGATTTCCGAGTGGACTACTATTTCACCGCCGACCTCCCCGTGCCCGTGCGTGTGTACTACGAACACGGCCAGGGGGCCGCCTTCTTCGAGATGTCGCTGCTGCGGACAGATGGTCCGCACAGTCACTTGGAGGCCCCCATCCCGGCGGAGCGTTTCTTCCACTTCCGCACGCTGCGGAACGTGGAGTACCACATGATGGGGGCCGGGGAGCCGGTTCAGACCGTCGTCGGGGCTGCCGCGCTGACCGGCCGGCTCAGCAGCATCGAGGGCGGCCTCACCCATTTGACGGCCTCCGTCCAGAACGTCTTCGAGCTGGCCACCCGCGACGTCTTCGGCAACGCGCGCACTCGGGTCCCGGACGAGCGAGTCACCGGGCGCCTGCTCGGGCCCCCGCTGGTCGAGTTTGAGTTCATCCCCCTGGCGGGCAACGCCATCATCACAGGGCGCCTCACTCCCCTGGCCACAGGTACAACGTGGCTCGAGATCATGGTCGCCGACGAGCCGATCGAGGGCTCTCCGTTCCCGATCACCGTGGTCCCCGGCCCCACCTGGGGGGACGATACGCTGATTGAGGGGATGCCCACCGAGATCTGGGCGGGCGTGATATCGTGCTTCAACTTGACCCTCCGCGACACCAACGAGAACGAACGCCTGAGCTTCTACAGCGATGACGGGATCGAGGAGACCGTCGTTTGCGACGATCCCGATGTGTACATTAACATGATCAATACGACAGAGACTCAAGGAACCTATGAGGTTTGTTTCAACAAAACTGTCCTGCCAAACGTGGTTGGCTCGGTGTATGGGCTGCTCTCCATGTCGTGCGAGGTGAACGACAGAGCAACAAGCAACTTCCCGTACGAAATCAAGGTGAATCCTTACCCCGTTGAGCCCACATGGCCCTCCTCTGAGAGCCCGCCGGACTATGCGCAGTATGGCCCGTACCATTTCCCAGTGCGCGTGGACGACACAGCCGGGCGCAAGGATTGGCCGTCGACATTTTTCAAGAAGGCTGCGACGGATGATGATCAGAACCCGGCTCAGTATTGGAACGAGGTGCAGCTCATCTACTCGGACAGCTTCGGCAACGCGATCGTGGGCGACGACTCGGTGGAGCTGCTGTGCGAGGTGCGGGGCCCGCACGACCTCGGGCTTCAGAGGGGCCTCCTGTACACCCTGCCGTACAACCTGGACACCACCACAGGTTATTTCACGGTCCGAGGACGTAGAAAGGTGTGCGCTAGGTTTCAGTGAAGCTTTTCTTTGTACAGGAGGAATTTTTCCAATATAGTTACGCAATAGTATGGGGACGATTTTTCCACGATGTTTTGACTATTCTCTCTTTTTTTTCCAAGCTCCGCCTGTATGAGGACATGCCCGACCTAACTCTAGCATCAGGTCCAGAACGGGTCTCCGGAGGATTTGGTGGTTGTGGTGCATGCTTCTCTTCTCCCCAGGTCTCGCTGGACTTCTGGGAGGCTGGCTCGCACCAGGTGTTTTGCTCCGCGGCGAAGCGCGGTGGGCTCAACGTGCAGGTGTTCGCCAACTCGGTGCTGGAGGGCCGGCCGGCAAGCGAGACGGTGGCCTCGAACGTCAGCTTTGCCAGCGTGGAGGAGTCTGGGGTCCTCGCTGGGGCGACGAGTGGATACGCCTCCGCGCGCTGGGACGGCCAGCTCATGGCCCCCGAGACCGCCAACTACACGTTTGCCTTGGTCGTCGCTTGCCAGAGTGCAGCGCTGATTCTCAACGGCACGCACTACATGTCGATCCGTGAGTCTGGCTCTTTTGAGATGGGCCCCATTGAGCTCTCGCAGGGGGCGTTGTACACCCTGCAAGTGTCGTGGGGCGCCAGTGAGCTCGCGGGCTCGATGCAGCTGCTCTGGGAACACGACCGCGGTCTCCCCCGCGAGCTGATCCCGAGCGAGCGGCTGTACCATTCCAAGCAGCTGCTCTACGGGTATCCGGTCTCTGTGGAGGTGATTGATGTTCCGGGGCCAGTCGAGAGTTTCTACAGGGCAGAGCCTTTCGTGGAGGGGGAGGTGACGCTCGTATGGTCGCCACCCATTAGCGATGGCGGCCGAGCGATAGAGAGCTACCGGTTGGTCCACGACGGCGGCTTGGGGGGCGAGGCGGTCGAGTTCGTCACCACCCAGGTCGAAAATCCGGACATCCCAGGCTCGTACATTACCACCGAGGTCATCCCCGCCTCACAGCTCAGCAGCACCGTGACCCTTCCCACGGGGTCCTTCTACCGCTTCTGGCTGATCGCCAGCAATGACGACAGCGCGTATGGGGACGAGCCCTCCTTCTCCTTCGCCTCCTACTACGGACTGGACGGCGGAGGCGCCTCCGACCTGCCCGTCAACCTCACGGTGACGCCGTCCTCGGACCTGGGCGCCCCTCCGGGCCCCCTCCTCGTGGGCGCCGAGGAGTTCGAGGACGGCTCCGGGCGGGTGACCGTGCAGCTGGCGCCCCCGTCGGAGGGGAACTCGGACATGCTCATCGGCTACCGGGTCTACCTGGACTACTTCCTGCAGGGCATCTTCAACCCCGCCGCGCTCGTCGCCGCGGGGCGCTCCGCCAACCACACCCCCGTCGACGTCGACCTCCCGGGCCTCGTGCAGGGCCTGGACTACCGCGTCTACGCGGCCTTCGATTATTTCTCGGGCGAGTCCAGCCTGAGCGATCCTCTCGAGGTGACCTGCTGCCAGTTCGGGCCGCCGGACGCGCCAGTGGACCTTCGGCGATATGTCGACGAGGATGCGGAGGTTCCACCGCAGGCCGCCATGCGGATAACGGTGGAGTGGGATGCCCCGCTCAGCGGCAGCTTCCGTCCCATCACCCACTATCTCGTGACAAGGGGCCAGGAATCGCGCAAACGGTAGCTTCGCGCGTCCGCGGACGCCGTCCCCGCGGGCGCCAGACCCCCTCCCCATCCTCTCCTCCCCAGCGCGCGAATTGGCGGACGAAGAGCAACGCTGAAGAACGAACTGCTCTTGCTGCCGGGGACGCCTGCCCCAGGGCGGCCAGAAAGCCTATATACCTGCACGTGCCGCTGCAGGGGGCAGACGTTTCCCGGCCGCCCCGGGGGGAGGCGTCCCCGAGGGCGGACGGCTCATTTCTTCAGGAGCGAAAGGAGGACGTACATGTACATGCATCCACGCTGGTTTCGAGAGCGCGCGTTGCACAAGTGTTCGTATCACGCGGCCGGTCACGCGAATCGAGGGGCCGTGTTCATGTACATGGCTGGGCGCGTGCGTCCTTTGTGGGCTCCCTATATTTCTGTCGCCGCCCTCGCCCGCGGAGCGAGCAGCGCGCATGGGGGGAGAGCGGTGGGCCTGGCGCTCTGGCGGCGCGTTTCCGTGGTCGGGCGCGCGCGGAGCTCCGTGAGCCCGCCTCGGCCCTCTTTTGCCCTCCGAGGTGAGCTTCACGCCCGTGATCGTCCTGCAGACCACCGAGGTCCTGCGCGCCACCGAGGCTCGGGCCGGGCGAAAGGGGGGGATTGGGAAAGGGGGGGTTACGAAATCTGCTGCATGCAGCTGGCTTCGGCCTCACCGAGGGGCCCATTCCTCGATAATTACACGGGCGCCTCCCGGCGCCGGGAGGCGCCGGGGAAATCAGCTGCGTGAGCTGAGTCTGAACCCCCCCCTTTGCTATCCCCCCTTTCGCCCGACCCGAGAGGTCCTGAAGATCACCAACGGCTCCGAGGACAGGGTGATGGCATTCGAGGGCCTCGCGCCCGGGGCCTTCCACTCCGTGCGCGTCGCCGCGGCGACGGGCCACAGGGGGCCCCGAGGCCGTTGATCGGGCGGCGAGGGTCGAGCTTCGAGGATCGGGGATCCAGCGTCGAGGCTGCAGTTTCGAGGATCAAGGCTCGAGGATCGAACGGAGTACGCCCGCCCGCTGCTGCCGCACCGCGTGCGGCATGACCGGTGGGCCGCGCACCAGAGGCCATGCTTGCCAAGAGCTCACCCTCGCAGAGGAGCAAGGAAGAATCAGGAGGGGAAACATCACACATATAAAATCAGTACTCGGTTCCCCAGAAAATGTGGGAACATATGGGAAGTGGGGGGAAGACAGCACCCCCGAAAATAGGAGAAGGTATGGGGAATCCTGTTATCTGTGTCTACTTATTGGTGCGCCCCGGGGCCCCGTTCAAAGAAGGGATGCAGCGCTCCAAGATCTCAAGAGGCTTTCTTCGTGTCCTGCGCGGTAGGCCGAGCGTGTCCTGCGCGGCGCGCGGCCGAGAGGGCCGCCGGAGGCCAGCGTATATCCCCAGGACGCCTCCTGGGCCGATCGCCGCACGACGGGATCTCGTCCTCCTCCTCCTCCTCCTCCTCCTCCTCCTCCTCCTCCTCCTCCTCCTCCTCCTCCTCCCCCTCCTCCTTCTCCTCCTCCCCCTCCTCCCTCCTCCTCCTCCTCCTCCTCCTCCTCCTCCTCCTCCTCCTCCGCCTCCTCCTCCTCCTCCGCCGCCTCCTCCTTCTCCTCCTCCTCCTCCTCCTCCTCCTCCTCCTCCTCCTCCTCCTCCTCCTCCTCCTCCTCCTCCTCCTCCCCCGGGCCGCCGAGGTGAGCGAGGCCGGGCAGGGGCCCTGGAGCGAGGCGGGAGGGAGCCAACCGCGCACCCACGCCGATCCTGGCCGGGCGATCCCTGCCCCAGGGCTGGTGCACGTGCCCTCCCAGCACTGTCGTAGTCGTCGTCGTCGTCGTCCTCCTCCTCCTCCTCCTCCTCCTCCTCCTCCTCCTCCTCCTCCTCCTCCTCCTCCTCCTCCACGTCGTCGTCGTCGTCGTCGTCGTCGTCGTCGTCGTCGTCGTCGTCGTCGTCGTAGTCAACGTCATCGTCGGGCGTGCTTACTGGTCCTGGGCCTGGCATGGCCATGGCCAGGCTCGGCGTAGGCACAACGACCGGCGCCCTCCCGCGAGGAGCTTTTCCTCGCCGCGACGGGCTACAGCGACGAACCCCGGGACGTGGCGCCCACGGCGCAGTCCGGGGGCGAGATCGTGCTCGGCTGGGCGGAGCCGCTGCAGGTGGGCAGCGGCCTGGTGGCCTACAACGTCTATGTGTATGTGGACGGCGAGGAGATTCCCCTGCAGCTCCCGTTCCCATCCTCGCCCTCCTGGCCCTGGTCGTCGTCGTCGTCGTCGTCCTCCTCCTCCTCCTTTTCCTCACTCTGTCGCAGGAGAACAAACTGCATAAACGCAATCCTCCGCGGAGCTCCCGATGGATTTCTGGGAGCTGCGCTGCAACCCCTTGGTAGCGCCTCCGGCGCCGGGGATGGGGGGGTCCTGCGCAGATCCACGAAATCCTCGCGGACCGTCAACAGCTTGTGTCATGCAGTTTTTCTTTCCTCTACTCGGGCAGCGCAAGAGGGGGACACTCGCAAATTGATCGCCGATAGGGGCCCGATTGCCATCCCGTGAAGGAACGTGTGGTTTCGCTAGCGGGAACCTATCGCATCAGCGATGTATCGCCGATATCAGGTAGATGTTCCCCGCCCTGAGCCGGTCCACCCCGAACGTTCCCCCTCACCCCTTTTTCCGTCTAAAGACCTCTTCCTCGTGGGACCACCAGGCGTGTCGGTAGGGCAGTCTGGGCGTTTCGGCCGATATTCTTCTTCTGATGTCTTATACTGCAGAGTTTGAAATTCTTGATACAGGACGTGGAGGATAAGGCCGTCCCTCGGTGGCCTTCGGCGTACTTCAGGCGGCAGCTGCCGTGCCCCCTGTGCAGCACCCCCCTGGATCCCCCTGCCTCGCTGGCAATGCTCACCACGCCTGCCTGGCTTTCTCCTCTAGTCCATCTGGCCTGTCGCTGTGCCGTTGTCAGCGGGGCCGGCTCGCGGTCGTTTGGGCCTCCCACGTGCACTGTCTGGTGGACTTTAGGGTGCTGTGACCGCGCCGGAGTGGTTTAGCCTTTCGCAGCCGCAACAGCTCCCCGGGCTCATCCCCCCTCTTCCGGCAGGTTTGCGTCGTTCCACGTTCCTCGGCAGCTCAGCTCCCCTAGCCAGCACACGTCGTTGGGACGGATCGGGCCTGGCGCCCCACTGGCGACTCGCTCATCGGGCTTCGCGCCTGCCCCCCACCCGGAATGACGGGCACGTCAGCCCTGGTGCACGTCATGTCGCTGTGTGGGTTATGCCTCACGGCAGGCAGCGAATCTCTCGACATTTTGTCAGATTGCACGTGCCCGAGCTTCTCAGGATGTTCCCTGCCGTCAGCTTCCCGCACAGCCCCGCGGCTGCTTTGTGAGTGGGCCGGCCGGCTAGCGGCGCGTCTTGTAGCTAATTAGGCTTGCCCGTCGGCCCGGACACCCTGTTCGCCGCCTGCACTCTTCGCTCGCGGCCGCGACCAAAAGAAACGTATCCCTACAGGCGGTGGCATAGTCTGCCCCTGCCAGCCCGGCACTCGACCCGTTTCGCGCGCCCGCGAACCAAAAAGTATCCTTACCAGGCCATCTCAGAACTATGCCCATGCAAGTTGCAGGGAAGTAGGGGATCACGCAGTGGGAAAGAGAGCTGGGGAGGCCAGTCACATCGAAATTTGAATCAGCCTGAGCAGAAAGAGGAGGAACGGCGGAGGGCAAGGATGAGACAGGAGGCGGAAGAGGAGGAAGAGGAGGAGAAAGATAAGGAGGAAGGATGATGCAGGATCATTTTGATAGCGATGGCGATGACGATGATGATGATGATGGTGATGATGATGATGACGATGATGACGATGATGATGATGTTGCTTATGATGATGTTGATGATGATGATGATGATGATGGTGACGATGATGATGATTATCACGATAGTGATGACGAGGATGATGATTATGATTATGATGCTGATGGTGATGACGACGCTGGTGATGATGCTGATGCTGGTGCTGAAGCTGCTGCTGCTGCTTCTGATGATTGTGGTGGTGGTTGTGACGATGCTGCTGATGATGATGTGATTGGTGATGATTATGATGATGCTGCTGCGGCTGGTGACGGTGATGGTGAAGGTGATGGTGGTGATGACGATGATGATGATGATGATGATGATGATGATGATGATGATGATGATGATGTAGATTGTAATAATGCCGATGCATATGCCAATGATGACGATGGTGTTGGTGATGGTGTTGGTGATGGTGTTGGTGATGGTGATGGTGGTGCTGATAGTGATGATTACGATTGTGGTTCAACTTGATACTGCTGCTGGTGATGATGCTGATGCCGACGGTGCGTCTGATGATGTTGTAGCTGTGGATGTTGATGTTGGTGATGATGATGCTGATGCTGCTGATGATGCTGCTACTGATTAGGATGCTGCAGGTGATGAAGCTGCTGCTGATGTTGATGCTGATGACGAAGATGATGAGGAGGATGATTGTGATTCGGCTGATGTTTATGCTGATGCTGGCACCGATGATGATGATGATGATGATGCTGCTGCTGATGATGATGCTGTTGTTTATGATGATGCTGATGTTGCTGCTGCTGATTACGATGATGGTGATGATGATTGTGATGATGATGATGATGATGATGATGATGATGATGATGATGATGATGATGATGATGATGATGATGGCGGTGGTGGTGTTGGTGGCGATGATGATCACGATGCTGGAGAGAATAGTTATGGCTATTTCTAGTTTGGTGCAGCACGTTCTCACTTACCTGGTGAACCTAGGTGGGCGTTGGAGGAGGAAGAGGATGAGAAGGATGATGAGGACGTGGGGGGAAGAGAACGAGGACGACGGGGCGGCGCGGAGAAGGTGTCGCCGCTCTTGGGCTCGAAGCCTTCCTCTTGGAACCCTCCCGGGGGCGCTTTTGGGGTGGTCCCGGTGACTCTTGGGCCCGTCCTGAAGCTATTGTCTCTGTGGAGCCCCGAGAACGCGTTGATTCAGTCTAGCGAGGTTCATCTCCCCTTCGGGAAAGGATGTTACCTCCCCCCCCAAATCCTACCCCTGAGTCTGGAGGGCTGGGGAGGCGTTGGAGCGTCCAAGATGGCCATAGATGGCTCCAAGAGGGCCTCAGGGATCCCCAAAGGACCTCCAAGATGGTTCAAGATAGCGCAAGATGGCTCAAGATGGCTGCCCTCGACATACCAAGACGGGTCCAAGCGGGCTTGGGGGTTCCCCAGGACGCGTTCAAGAGGGCAAAGTCCTTTGAAAGTCTTGCAAACAATATGTCAATTCTCGCCTTGTCGTTCCCGATGGCCGTCCGAGGCTTCCAGATGGCTCCAAGAGGGCCCAAGAGAGACCCAAGAGGGGTCCAAGAAGGCTCCACGACGGCCCCGAGAGAGCCCAAGAACGCCCCAAGAGCGTTCCAAGAGCGCCGCAAGAGGGCCCACGAGGCGACGTGTGGGGCTCTCTCAGGGGCGATGCTAATGAAGGCTCCCCCTCGTTGATCGATGCTCTCCAATATGGTCAGGGAGGCTCCCAGGAGGGCCTCAAGAAGGCCCCAAAAGAGCCCCAAAGGCTCCAACAATTCGGGAGCGGCTAAGAGGGGGGTGTCCAAGAGGGGGGGGTGCAAATCATGGCCGGCGGCATGTGCGCGGCCCAGCGGGGGGGCCAGGGACGTAATGAAATAAGAAGAGTCGCCATGAAATCTGAGGAAAAATCATGGCCCGCGCCATGAAATCCACCCCCCCCCAGTCATCACCCCCCTCTTTTCCGCCCCCGAAATTCTTGAGTGGGTGGAGGGGAAAGTGGAGGAGGAGGGGTGGGTGGGGGGGAGGAGGGAGGATGGAGGGGGGGCTGCCTGGATGGGAGGGTGGAGGGGTGTGTGGAGGGGGGGGTCTGGTGGAGGAGGGGGGGGCCAGATTCCAGGAGAGATGGTAGGGCGATGTGTTCCATGAGGAAGCTGGGACATGGAACCCCGCGAAACCACCTCTGCCCAGAGAGCTGGTAGAAGCTCCAGCAGCTGCTCAGACGGAAGGGGGGGTGCTTAAAGAGTGTGGTCCTCGCTGCATCGCCGCGCGCGTTCGTTTCAAGAGCTTCAAACAGTTACAGGGGTGGAGGGGCCGTTTTCTAAGTGTGGTTTTCACATTAGTTTTGCAATTTCTCAACAGCTACACGGACAGCGGTTCCTTTTTAAATTGTGATTTTCGTTTCTGGCTTCCTTGCAGCGCAGATGAGTGATCCTACATTCACGATGGTGCAACATCTGCGGGGATTGATGGCGTGCCGTTTCGTCTCGGTCAAATCGGGGCTCCCGCTCGAGATTTCTTCCGGCGCGGACCATCCGTGAAAGCTTGCACTTGCACGCAGACCGTCTTACGCGGAGTCATTGCAGCTACGGTGAAGGCTGTACGTCCGGTGCCGCCGACCCTGAAGGCGGGACCTCCCCTGTAGGACCCCCGCTGGCGCCCCCCCCCTTGGGCCCCGCCGGGACCCTGGGGGGGGCGGTGTTGGGGAGGCCTTGCGGCCAGTTTCGCCGACCCTGCAGGGGGACGACGACCACGACGGCGGCGTCGGCGGCGGCGACGACGCTGACGTGGGGCACAGTCCTCAGTGATGCTTCGTGGGGCCTCTTCGGAGCGCGCTCGTAGGTCTCTGGTGGGCAGTTTTGGGGGCCTCTTGGGGGCATCTTGGGAGCCTCTTGGGAGCCTCTTGGGGGTCCCTTCGGGCTTCCTGGGGGCCTCTTGGGGGCTTCTTGGGGCCACGTGGGGGGGCCTCTTGGGGCATCTTGGGGTCTCCTGGGAGCTTCTCGGTGCCGAGGACTCGAAATAATCGTGCGGGCTCCCGTGTGGGCACCCTCTTGGAGCCGTTGTGGGGCCTCTTTTTCCCTTTGGGAAGCCTCTAAGGTCGTCTTGGGGCCCTCTTGGGTCGTTTTGGGGCCGTCTTGGAAACCCTTCGGGGGCCTCTTGTGCCGATCTTGGTGGCATCTTGGGCCGTCTTGGAGCGTCGGGAAGCCGAAAGAGCGAGAACGCCAGAATCTCCCCAAAATCCTAAAGCACATGATTGCATTTTGCCTGTTGGGGCCCTCATGGTGTGCTCTTGGAGGCCTTTTTGAGCGTCTTCGAAGCCGCCTGGGCTGTCAGGTGGCCGTCTTTGGCGTCTTGGACCCGTTGTTCGGCGTTTCGGGCCCCTTTAGACCGTCTTGGGGGCCCCTTGTGCTGTCTTGGTTTTTTTTTGGCCCCAGGACGCCCCCGGGGGAGGATGGCATTCTGACCCATGACCCCACAGGACTCCCTCCCAGGATCCCCCCCCACCCCGTGGGGGAGAAGGGATCAAAGGGAAGAGGCTTTCCTTTGGACTCAACTGCGACGTTGCTCCATTTCGCTTCGGCTTCGCTGTGGCTGGCTCCCTTGCGGAGGAGGGCGGTGGACAAGGAAAGGGAGGTCAAACGCGACGGTGACGACGACGACGACGACGACGACGACGACGACGACGACGACAACGACGATGACGACGGCGGCGGCGGCGGCTGCGACGACGACGACGAAGACGACGACGACGACGTTGAGTCAAACAGGACAGCGTCTTCCACACGCTGGCAGGGTCGGCGGATTTTGACCCGGGGCCACCATCCCCGACCCGGACCCCGGGGGGGAGCGTTAATCTAACCCGTGGCCCCTTCCCACACCTTCCCCTACCCTCTCCGTGCCCCTCCCCCGTCAGGGAGGGGAAGAAGGGGAGGGAATCGACTTAAGTACGACGTTTCTATGGGACTGGCGACGACGACGACGACGGGAACGACGACGACGACGAGAACAACGACGACGACGACGACGACGACGACGACGACGACGACGACGACGACGGCGGCGGCGGCGGCGGCGACGACGACGATGACGACTACGGCAACGACAGCGTCTCACACGCGCCGAAGGGTCGGCGGATTTGGTAAAATGGCACTGTCGAGGTGCACCTCCTTTTTTGTATGATCCTATCTCGTCGCCGGTCTTGCAGCCAGAAGTTCAGGGATGGCACTTCCCTGTCGAAGCAGGGCTCCTCGTCCGATCGGCAGGACAATGTGTGGCGCTCGTGTCTCAAAGTGCACCGGATATCTGTTGTGGGGGCTTATGTGGAGGGGAGACTCCTCCTCCTCCTCCTCCTTCTCCTCATCCTCCTCTCCTCCTCTCCTCCTCTCCTCCTCTCCCCCTCTCCTCCTCCTCCTCTTCCTCCTCCTCCTGATCCTCCTCCCCCTGATCCTCCTCCCCCTGATCCTCCTCCTCCTCCTCCTCCTCCTCCTCCTCCTCCTCCTCCGTGGGACGGGTGGGCGTATTGCAGCGTCGTTGATGCATCGTGGCTGTACCGGGGATGGGGTCCAGCGCCGACCGAACGCATTCCCGATGGCATCCGAGCGCTCTGACCCGCCCCCTCGTCGTCCTCCTCGTATCCGCCCTCCGCTTCCTTCCCCGTCTTCCTTCATTCCTTCCGCTTCCTCCTTCTCCTTCTCCTTCTCCCCCTCCTCCTCCTCCTCCTCCTCCTCCTCCTCCTCCTCCTCCTCCTCCTCCTCCTCATCCCCCTCCTCCTCCTCCTCCTTCTCCTCATCCCTCATCCCCCTCCCTCTTCCCCCTCCCTCCTCCCCCCCTCCCTTCCCGTTCCTGCTCCCCCTGCCCACTGTCCTCGGCGAGGACGTCCTTCTCGGACAGGTCGGGGCAGGCGAGGAGACCTTCGCGTTCTCGGGCTACTACCGGGCGAACACCACGAACTGGGAGCCCCTGGTTCTCGGCCGGGCTGGAAGGGGTGGCAGCGGGACGCGCATACATTCTGTCACCCGTGGGGCGCAGGAGGGTTACCAAGAGGGGCTCGAGTGGGCGGGGGCGGTGGTTCGCGCTGCATCGGCGATGCATCGGTGGTGCGGCTCGATGCGGAGCCCGATTTTCACCACGCCGACGTCGCCGATGCATAGCAGGCATCGCCGATGTATTGCCGATGAATTGCCGATGCATATGCGATGCATCGGCGATGCGGCGCGATCCTCCGACCCCATCTACTCGCACTCGATTTGGGTGGCCTCCAGAAGAGGAGGAGGGCGGGGACGGGGAGTTACGAGATTACGGATGTTGCAAGTGTGTCGGGCACGGTCAGATTAGACGGATCGGTGCGCCTTTCTTCAAGCAGTGGCGAAGCGTATTGGCTTGCCAATTTCCCACCAAATGATGTTCCGAGAACTTGTGCTTGTGGTTTCCATGAAATGTTCTCAGATCTGTTTTGGCTGAGACTGCTTGTTTGACTACATCGGCCTCATGGTTAAGAACATTGTCTTTGTTCTTTGAACATCAAGCGTATAGGAATGCCGGGACGGTCGGTCCCTGCTCAAATTCTGGCTTGCTCGGCGTTGCTGTAAGCCTTAGGCCAGATTCCCCGGTCGATCTTGGCGAGGCACCCCTCTCCGAGTACCATCAGCAAGAAGCGGGCATGGACTCCCGAGCTGGGTCATCTGTTGGGCCGAACAGCTTTTACATCTCCAGCACAACCAGCTTCACAGCCCAGAGTGAAACTTTACTGATGATTGTTGGCCAACCCAATACACATGTGCATCCGACGCCCAAGTTGGAGGTCATAGAATCAACACTACACATATATATATATATGCATCGCTCGCGGCGGACACAAGGCGACTCCAGCCAGGTCCGACGAGCAGCCTGGGAGGTCGAACCTGGGCACCGCAAACGCGCCTTACCGTTTTCGGCGAGGTGTTGCTGAGTGGACAAAAAACGGAGCAGGCCAAAGGAGCAGGCGTCCTGGGTCCAGAACGCCTGACACGGGCTCTCTGGGACTCCTCGCGAGACAACACCAGCTCAGCTTCGAGTGATTGCACAGTGCTAGCAATGATTCGCATCCTCACGAGGAGCAACACATTGGCTCGACCTGGGCAACTCGAGAATCGCGTCTCGGAGTCAAGACCGCGATGACACGGATTTTGAGATGCTCGTAGGGAGTCAAAGGATGAGGAGGATGATGAGCAGGGGGAGGATGGACAGAGGTGGAATTGATACCGATGGTGATGCCCGTTCCTCGTCACCACTGCTGGGTTCGCGGCGGGATGTTGGTCAGAACGCACCGTGGGAATCTCGATCTGGCACACCTCCCATAAACATCGTACATCTGAGGCGCTTTCAAGACGGCTCAAGAGCACCTCGATTCGGCGACCCCTTCGCGCACTTTGTGACGCATGGCCCCCAAACGGGCCTTCAGCTAGCCATCAGAGGGCCTATTCTAGACGCTTCGCGTAACCCAATCATCCGGCGCCACGTGTGCGACAGTTCCTTTCCGTCCGCTTCCTGTTCTGTGCTCGCGTTCCCCACTGTCGGGCCGCCAGCGTCAGCCCCCAATGAGGGTCATTTTGTCCCTGGCATGTGCACTCGCTACAGCGGCATATGCGCCTCTGCAGCTAATTATCTCACTCTGTGCCCCAGTCGAGTCCGCCCCGCTTCCTGGATCTGTCCACGGAGCCGCCAATCAAAAAAGCGTAACCCAACCATCCCACCCAGAAACGATGCCCAGACGAGCTGCCCTGATCAGGGATGTGGAGGAACATGCAGTGGAATAAAGAGCTGGGTGCTACGTCATACCCTGAGGGGGAGGGTGGAGGAGGAATCTGCGGAGGAGTAGGAGGAGGAGGAGGAGGAGGAGGAGGAGGAGGAGGAGGAGGAGGAGGAGGAGGAGGAGGAGGAGGAGGAAGGAGGAGGAGGAGGAGTAGGGAGAGGGGGAGGGGGAGGAATGAGGAGGAAGGGGGATGAGTAGACATATTAGGAGGAGGCGCCTTTTTGGGCCCCTTGGGGCGTCTTGGGTGCCTCTGCAGACCCGCTCGGGGCATCTTGGGGATCGCTTGGTGGTCTCGTGGGGGCCTTTGGGGGGCCTCTTGGGGGGCTCTTGGGGCCTCCTGAGCACCTCTTGGGGCCGTCTTGGGACACCCTTGGGAGCCTCGAGGGCCATCGTGAGGCCACCTTGGAGGAAGCTGATCAACGAATGGGTCGTAGTAACAGTGACGGACCCCCCACCCCCGGAGGCCCAAGTGCGGCCAATGCCTCAGTAAAACCAATGGTGTTGGCTTTCTGGCCGATTCCACCTTGGACGTTCCAGGCCCTCGCGAGAAGCACCGTTCAGGTCCAGGGGGGCATGTGTGCCAACGCTCGTCGAAACCGTGCCGCGAACACCCGCCGAGTGCAACATCTGCGTGCGAGTTTCTTCTTCGGGGCCCGCTGTGGTTCCTGGTCCCCGGGCTTTATCAGGCGGGCCCCTGCGGGATCGGAGCGGGCGCAGGGCTGCCTTGGCTGTGCTAGGCAGAGACGAATCACGGTAGCAAATCGGGGGAGCCTTGCGTACCCTGCCAGTTCCGTCTTTAGACTGCACAAGCGTCGATTAGCATCGAGGAGCCGATGAGATAGCGCCGATTCAGCGCCGATTCAGCGTCGGTCAGCGTCGATCAGCGTCGATTCAGTGTCGATTAGCATCGAGTTGCAAGAGCCAACATGATGGTATGGGAGGCCCCATGAGTTGCCACCGGAAGATGGCATGCACAGTGCACGCTATGGGCGGCTCCGAGCACTCCGCCCACCAGTTCTCCTGGGGCGCGCAAACATCCAGGCGATTCGTGCAGTCTTGCTCCTGGGACACACCTGCACGTACGAGCGGTGTGGGTCTTTTTGTTTGTGGGAGACGTTGGATTTTTTCCCGATTTTTCGGGGAGTCTCAGGCTTGGGGAACCTCCATTGTTAGACCCATGGGCCTCCCAAGGACCTCAGCTGGCCCCGAACGTGGCTGAGGGGTCATTTGGGCAATCGCGCTTCGATGTCCATGCGCTCCCAGAGACCCTCAGCTGGCCGCCAAGAGGCCCCAACAGAGGCGCACATGCGCCCAAGAAGGCCACCAGAGGCTCCAAGATGGCCTCGCGGGAGTTTGCGCGCGACCGCGAACTCCCGCGATTTTGGCTCAAGACATTCGCTCCACCTGCTCGACGAGCTCGGCTTATATACCATTTCAAAAAGAAAAGAAGCGCGGGCACACGACCATTGACGGTAATGGCTTCGTTCTGGGCCGTTGTGCTGGCATTCATGCAATCCGAAGGCGTTGGCGCGGCTGCCAAGGTTGCGAGCGCAAGCGCAGGCGCCATGGTCGTCGACCACGACGGGCGCACCACTGGCCGCGCTTTGGCGGGGGCCGCGGCGCTCGTGCGGAGGCAGACGGACGACGAGCAGATGCAGCGGAGCCTGTTCGTCCGCGCCGGGGGCGGAGTCGCTGATGCCAGCTCTCTTGTGGAGAGCGGTCGCGGATCGCTGTCGACGCGCCGAGAGTCTGCGCGGACGAGGACCGTCGGGCTCTACGATCTCGTTGCCGGACAGGAGCACGAGGCCGAGGCTCTGGCGGCATGGCAGAAGTTCTACGACGCGCAGCAGCAGGAGGGTGCCTGCCCGCTCCCCGCCTCCGGCTTCGACTGCGAGCAGGGCCACGAGTGCACCTTCAAAGATGCCAAGCTCCAGACTTTCAAGGTCCTGAATCATGGGAGCCTGACTGAGACCGTCTTCTCCAACGGTGGGACGGCCTACTTCTTCGGGGAGAACTCACCAAGCGTGCCTCCCTACTATCTCGCCAAACTCCAGTGCAGTGGGGAGGTCCTTCTCAAAGCCCCCGCGGCTGAGAGTGGCGACAAGGTGGACAAAGAAAGTTGCTCTACTTATAAGGCGATGCAGAGCGTGACTGTCGGTAACAACACCTGGAAGTCGTCGGTCGAGCGGTTGATCAGGAGTAATTATCTTTGCATCGACGTGAATGTGTCTTCTGCGAGCGCCGCGGGTTGGGAGGGGGTATGCTTGCTTAGCAAGTCCCCGTTAAGCTCCGACCCGCCGTCGATTAACGCGGCGGCGAAAACTTTGCACGTCACAAGGACAGAGCTGTTCCAAATCGTGCAGGGCAACTTCACGGCCTTGCGGGGAAAGTTGAACACGTCTTCTTGCCCAGGGGGGGCTCCCATATTCGCGCTGGCCCAACTTGACGGCGCCTTGGCAAGGAAGGGTGGCGGCGGCGGCGGTGGCAGCAGCAAGTCGAGTGGCACAGGCTTAATGGTACTCGGCGCGGTTCTTATGGTCAGCGCCTTTGTTGTTACTGGCGCATCTGGAGGCGCCTTTGCACCGGTTGCAACCATTATGTTTGGCTGGGGTGCCGGGTTCGTGATCGGAGGTGCGACCACGGTGTGGGGAGGCGGCCAGCAAACAGCTGGAGGGGGAGTTGCGGTACAGGCTGCAGTGAACGCTGCCGGTGGAACAGCGAGTGGACCTGCTGGGGCCGCAGTCACTGGCATCGCTATTGGCGTGGGGGCAGTGGCTGGTATGCTGGAGGGGATTCCCCTGCATGACCATCGGGGCCAGGACGGGGACAAGTTCTTGAAGTCGAGGCAAGACCACCTCTGCGCAGACTATCAGGACGGCATCATGAATGCGTACATGAGGCCGTGCGCTGGCAATGCGACCGCAGAGTGGTTCTTTGCCGAAAAGGCTTGGCTCGACTACAACAACGACCCGCTGCGCGAGCTCACCGGCCGCGACACCACCCCGCTCAAGCATATGCAGAAGTATCAGCAGACGCTCCCGTGGGCGAAGGAGCAATGCGCGAGCAGTGCCCAATGTCAGGCCTTCTGCTGGAACCCGGATGACTTGACGATTTTCCATCAACAGACCGAGCAGGGCTTCACGCCAACTGGGAGAATTGGCCAGGGTATGTCGTGTTTCAAAAAAGTGTTTTTCGAAGGCAAGGCGCTGGTGAGCATGCGGGGCACCAAATGTTTGGAGTACAACACGGGCAACAACAATGTGTACATGCATCACTGTCACGGCGGAGCCAATCAACAGTGGTACCTCGACGGGGAGCAAATGAAGACGAAGTGGGACGACAAGTGCCTTGACTACAGCTTCGACGATCCGTCCAAGAACCTCTACATGAAGCCGTGCCATGGCGGCCTGAACCAGAAGTGGTACTTCGCGTGAGACCTTGCTTACTCGGTCACCCGCATCCTTTTGCGCGCTGCCAGCTTGCCCAGCCAGGCTGGTGCTTCGGGCCAAGTCTTGAGTTTGTGATACACCTGACACGCTCAGAGAGCAGGCCCCGCCTGCCGAAACGCAGCACCCGAGTCGCAGAACAAAAAACAAAAAAAAAGATGGCCTCGCGGGAGCCCCTCGAGAAAGAACAATTTTCAGCGTTTGGCACCGTCACTGAAAAATGGCACCCTCTGTGCCCAAGGGACGCCAAGACGCCCACCCAGCCTCTCAGGTGAAGCCAGGATGACCGCGTGTGTCAATAGAACAAGAGCAACGGAACGGTTGGAACCGAGCCTCGTCAAAACCGTACCTCCGAACACCCACTGACTGCGACATTTGCACGCTCGTCTCCCCTTGAGGGCCCGCCGTGACTCCCGCTAGGCGGGCTTGAACGGTCTCCTCCTCCTCCTCCTCCTCCTCCTGCTCCTCTTGCTGTCCCCTGACCCCCTCGACCGCTCGCCGCAGGGCGCTCTCCCTCCCCGCCACCTCGTGCTGTCTCCCGCCCCCCTCCGCCCCCTCGTGCTGTCCACTGGCCGCCAGTCGGGTCGGACGAAGGGGGGGGAACACCTCTGACCTCTGGCCGTCACGAGGTCGTGCCGGCCTGTGTAAGCATCTGTTACCCGGCCAGGCGGTAGAGAGTAATGGCGCGGGGAGGGAGGCTGCCCGCGTTGGCCACCAGTGGAGGGTGGAAATTGAGAACAAGGGGAGGGGGGTTGTTGAGTCTGCTGCGTGCCGCCGGTCTCGGCCCAGCCGTGCGGCAACCTCCTCGGCACACGGGCGCCGCACGGCGCGGGGAGGCGACGGGAAGAGCAGCTACGTGAGCTGATTCGCCAGCCAACCCCCCCAGTCAGGAGCATCGATAGGGGGGGAACGGACATGCGGGGGGTGCACCGACCCCCAATCGTCCATTGAACGCCGATCGGGGCCCGATAGCCCCAACCTGCCCAGGAACGTTCGGATTCATGTTCGGGGGCCTATCGCCGATCTAACGGCGATTCCAGGTCGATGTTTCCCCCCCTGTGCCAGCCCCCCCTATCGTGGTCCCTCATCCGATGCCCTTCCACTTTCGTCCGGCCGCCCAGGTTCCCGGCGTGTTCTACCCCCTCGCCGTGGAGGCCGTTAACCTTGCGGGTGTTGGGACGAACTCGCGCTCGGCCTATGCGCACGTAGTGGCAGGCAGCAAGCCTGGCCCGCCTGCAGACTTCGCCGTCGACGAGTCCGCGCTCGACGAGAGCATCAGTCTCAGCTGGGCCCCCCCCGAAGATGACGGCGGCGCCACGGTGACGCTCTACCAGCTGGAGCGGCGGAAAGAGTGGGAAGGGACGTCGCTCGCGCTGTGTGCGCCCACGGGAGAAGGCAGTAGCTGCGTGATCAACGACTTCCACGACAACGGCATCCAGGAGCGCAGCCTCGTCGGGGAGGGCGGGTCCGTGAGGGTGTTCGTGGGGCGCGTCGTCACGCGCGGCGTGGACCGGTCGCAGCACACGTCGCTGAGCTGCAGCAGCTCCGTCTTCCTCTCCTGGCCCGAGCAGCTCTGGGACCAGTACGAGTACCAGCTGCACCCCACGTGCTACGTGCTGCGGGAGGCGTGCGAGGACCAGAGGGCAGGCCGGCCGGCCACCTCGGCCACCGCCCCGGGGGTGGGGCGGTGGATCCCTCGGGGGCCTCGGCAGGCGGCGGGTGCGGGTGTGCCCGGGCCCCGGGGGGCCCGACGCCACGTCCACCTCCACCGCCCTGCTGGGGCCCCAGGGCAGCGCTTCCCGAGGTGGACGATTCCCCGCCTCGCAGCTTGCACACACACGCACACACACACACACAGACACACACACGCACGCACGCACGCACGCACGCACGCACGCACGCACGCACGCACGCACGCACGCACGCACGCACGCACGCACGCACGCACGCACGCACGCACGCACGCACGCACGCACGCACGCACGCACGCACGCACGCACGCACGCACGCACGCACGCACGCACGCACGCACGCACGCACGCACGCACGCACGCACGCACGCACGCACGCACG